TTAAAGCATTTTGAGTTGGATTGGGTTGCGACTACAAGGGCTTGGGCAAGGGAGGAGGCCTGGTACGTGGAAGTCCCAATATCATGTGTGGCCACAATCCATTTTCATAATGTTCATTTTTTAGTCCCTGGCATGCTTGTCTGTGCTCAGGGGTCATCCCTTCCCAGACAAGGCTGTTTAAAAGCATTGCTTTGGCTGCAGGATCTGTTATTTTTCTATCTAAACTGGCCTGCACTCTTAGTATAAAGTCTGGGAGAGCCTCAGTTGGTTTTTGTTTTAAAAAAGTTAATGAAGAAGTCTCTCCAGGCCCGGTGGGCAAGGGGGTTAGGCGGTCCCAGGCCTGTAATGCACATAAGCGGACCTGCTCAAAACAGCCAGCAGAAATCACAGCCTGCTGGATTCCTGTGGAAAAGTTGCCCTGGCCAAAAAGCTTGGTCATAGTTCCAATCAATCTATGAATCCAGGTGGTGGATCCTGTCCCTGCTGTGGTCTTAGTTGTTGATTATGTGTGTCATTTCTTTTAACCCCTGCATCAGGCATTCATCTCTAAATAAAGCCTCCCATTGTACAAATAATGGACTGGGGAGGGTAGATCTACAGATATCTCTCCAGTCCTGAGGGGTTAGCAGGTTAGTATTAAATGTAGTATAGATTTTGTCCATGGAGCATGGATCCCATCTTCACGAACAGCTTGGCGTAGCTCTTTTAATTCTGCTGCTGGGAGCGGGTACCAAGCCAGTGGGCGTTGCTTTGTTATTTGTAAGTTAACAGGAAAAGCTTCAACCGATGGGGTTTTGGGGTCCTGAGGCCATTGTGTCTGGAGATTTTGGAGGTGGCAACTTTCATTATCCCTGAGATTACAGAGTTGTTTTATGGCTGTGGGGTGTGGCTGGGATGGTGCCACAGGCTGTGACGGCAGCAGAGGTGAAGGGGGAGGGGGATTTATCTGGGGGTCTTTGGGAGTTTTTGAAGTCTGGGTGTTAACATCCTGGTTTGTTAAATCAGTAAGAGGGGGGTAAGGGTTATTTTTGTTGATGGGTGGGTTTTGTCTGACTTGGTCAAATTTTATTTTTGGGGCTGTTGAATCTGTTACTGGGCAATCTACAGGATTTTTTTTTTTATTTTTTAGGGCTGTCGAATCTGCTGTTGGGAAATCTTCATGGTCTTTTTTATTATTTTTTAGGGCTGTCGAATCTGCTGTTGGGAAATCTTTAGTGTCTTTTTTATCGTTTGAACCCTCCCCTTTATTATCCCCTGGTGTTAGTAAGTTTTCCTCAGTCTTAGGTGGGTTTCCTAAGCATTGTCGAATGGCTGCTATTATGGGGAGAAAGGAAAGGGGCAAATGGTGTCTTTCCTGGATTTCCTTTTTACGAGCCAGATAGGCAATGTTGGTCCAGACCTCTGGATCAGAAATGTCTGCTGACAAGACCCTGACCAAGAGGCTTCAGTTGCCTGCAAACCTTATCCAGACCCTCGTGACGGCAATAACCGAGATAAAGCAAAGAGAGAGAAATGGGGTGGTCCTCTGATGAGTCCCTTCCCCAGGAGAAGGTTTACAGGAAAAAAAAAAGGCTTTTTAAAATATTTGTTTTTGTTTGTTTGTATGGCGCAAGCCACCTTGAATTTTTAAGTGCTCCACAGGGGCTAGTTAATTTAAATTCTCACCTAACTGGTTTTAGCTTTGGCTTGAATACCCCAGGGGCAAGATAACAAAACAGATTAGGGAAGTTTATTTTAGAAGTTGACTTTAAGGCTTATGTGAAGATCCCTTAGAACTTTTGGGGATTTTTGTTTGTAGCGGTGTTAACATAGGAAAGGAAAGTGGGGTGAAACGCTGATTTCTAAGGGAACATGCCTGGGATCAAGATCTCAGGTGATTCCAACTCAGTCCACAACGCAAACCTTCCCGCAAGTTTAAGAGATCAGCGGCCACTCTAAGAGCATTTAACTGGCCGTTGCTTTACTGATTTTTGTATTAGAAAGATGTATAGATAGGAGGTCTTTGTCTACTCCCGTGCAGGCAGTCAGGGTCTGTTAAGAGGACTCAGAGCCTTCAGCTGACGTCAAGGAGTAGCCTTGACCAGAAAACCTCAGTTGCTTCTTTTTCTTTAATGGTCCCACGCGAAGACTCAGACCGAAAATAAAAGGAGGAAAAGAGGAGAGATTGCCAGTC